ATGTAAGAAATATGTAGGCCTCTAATCATTAGTACCATCGCACTATTGTTAGTACATGCAAAAATCATTTGACATATACACTCTGTCTTCTGTGTAAAATTCTAGGTGAATTCGAAGTAGGTTAGAGTAAAACTAATCTAAGAACCTACAATTTGCAAATTTTATTTGTCACGGGCTGATCGCATCTCGAGTACCACTGAAGACGAGATAACATTGGAAAGCTTTCTTATCCTAGTATACGTTTCCTCAGTAATGAGCACCCATGACCCCGCCAAAAATCGAAGCTTAGACATTAAACGCTCCAGAAATACATACTACATATGAAACCGATCTTAACAACTCTCTCGACCAAACTACTATATCCAGCTCATCTATTTCAAGATATTCTTTAAGTTCGAGTGGGAAACCGTAACTGGTGGAGTTCACACATGTTAGAAGTAAAATAGTTGTCACCAGTGTGGTTGGATGATCTTCGCGGTATATCACAAATTAATTACATTTGAGATTATACCATGGGTTACCGACTGAGTGTTCCTAATAGTTAAGCATCTGCTGCGAAACTTGAAGGTAATTAGCCTGATCCCCTGCATGATTGTGGATACTCACCACTAAGGAATTTCATACTAGGACTCTAAAGTTGCCCAGTTTCCACTGCTTTTTAATAGTATCCCGACTATGATCATTCAGTAACAAATACAACTTACAAATCAAATCAACGTCTATAAAACCCCTTCAGCTAAACTTATTATTATTGTTACTACTATTATTATCACTTCATGACCACTATTATTACACCATTTAAAACATTTTTGTGTAGATGTTGAAAAATGGACCTATCAAAACTTTAGTCATTCACAACTTGGTTGTTTACTTGTTCGACCACGATCTCTTAGTGCAACATGTTTGAATATAATATCATCATCAATCAACAATTCAAGTTTTGATGCTCCCTATAACGACAATCGGGATGATGAAGAAGTGAAGGCACAAAATAAACGTTGGAAGTTTGATAATGCTAATGATGATGAACATGAATTAGGATGTAATTCAATGAAAATCTCCAAGTATGTTTTATTTCTTTCTACTTCATATTTGACCCGACCACGTAGTGTCTATTGAGATGCACACCTCATTGTCTTAGAGAGTAATAAGTAGTTTGTTGCTTTAGACCGATACCTATTTTTTTATAACCGATATTACTAAGCATATTTACCTTAGTGATGTGATTAATTTAGTAAATGGGTATTTTGGTGGTTTCATCTTAAAATATGAAATTGCTGATAGTGTTTGGCTTTACGCTGACTAGTAACTAAGCAGTGATTAATGCCGTCTTGAGTTACGCTTATGATCGGTAGTTTACGCGAATTAAAATGGCGTGCACTGTGTTTAGATGGAAGGCGGTTGGAGTAGGCGAAGAACTCAACTTTTGTGTCAGTGTTGATACTCGCCTCTACTGATGTTGACCACTTTTCAATAAATATCTAAATCCTATAAGAGATCAGTAACAACTTGCATATCTCAGCGGTATATTATACCACTGTAACATTGGGTGGCGCCGTTTAAAACTGTGTAAGGATCATCAACCTTCTCAAGATTGTAACTGTTATGCCTCGCTTGACAAATTTGAACTTATGTAAAACTTAGTTTCAGGACTTCATGCTGATTGCTTCCAGGCATTTGACAACAAACCTTTAATTTTTCTGCAAATAACTCACTAAGTATGTTATTTGGTGTTGATGTTGGTGGTAATATGACCAACAAGATTCCAAATAATTTTCTCAAAGCTTATCGGTAGGTAAGTAAGTAGCACTAAATAACAGGTGTATTTTATTATGATTCTTAGTTGTAACTTGTAAAAAGCTATATGTATCATTTGCAGTTGTATTGTTAGACGGTTATATGTTTAAACTGAGTGATAGTTATGTCCAAACACTAACTTTGCAATGTAGACCAAAGGACACTACAACAAACGGAGTTAAACCAAACATCATTTACACAACTAACTGCACCAACTACAAAAAGCACTACATAAGATAAAGCTACCTCCGCTTTTGCGTCTGCATGAATATCAGCATCTATTTAAACGCTACGACATAGTGGATGGGAGACAACCATGAACACAATTTCTGTTTGGGAAACTTTGAAATACTGGACGAAAGAAAGCTAGAAGACTCTTAGAAACATGGCATTCTATTAATGTATCAAGTAATAATGAAGAGGATAAACAACTCCGAGTATTTTCCCGTTCCTTTAGTATGTGGTTACTGTATAGAAGAGTTTGATTTCTACTAGAGACATTATTTTAATCATCTAACAATTTCACTGCATATGTCTTCTGTGAACACACTACTGTATTACATTATTGATTTGTTGGATGAAATAAATGAATAATGTGAAAATTAGGACTTGAACTGGAATCTTCAATGGATATTATACTTTATTATGTAGCATCTACTTACTAAATGAACAGAAAAACTCTAGTTCTTGCATACATGTTGAACATTGAAAGACATATTCGCTGCGAATTCACTTTCCTATTAGTTATTATTAATAAGGGGATGAAACTTACATTCTTTACAATATTCATTTGAATGTGGTTAACGTCATACTTTTTTTTCCTTCTTATTAATGTACAGGATTGAAAATTCTATACAAGAAATAAATGAACATTCTAGTCCACGTTTAAAACGTTTAAAAAAACGTACTGAACATGTACGTAATTTATTACCAGCTAATTTGCATCGATTTATTCTACCTGGTTGTATTAGTTCATTAAGTCGTTCATCATCTATTGGTACATCTAGTCATTATACAACCATATCTGATATGTTATTTTTATCATTATCACGTAGAACATCATATCGTCGACATCGTTATCATCGTCATCATCACCAACAACATCATTCTGTTCAACAACAATATTGTCATCATGAACATGATTTTGATGTTAGTGATAATGATAATCGATCTATATATCAAAATGATCAAATTAAACAATTTTATAATGATATTCATAAACAAAATATGCCTAATTCAATTCAAAATTATCAATATTTAATGAAATTTTCAATAGATAATCGTAAATGGTCTAGTGATCCAGAATTACAATTAACATCTACCTGTCAAATAATTGATCATATACACTACTAACAAATAATTTAAGTAGTTAAACTCATTATTATTTTTCTCTTTAATATATACGCCTTAGTCGTTTTTCCTTATGATGAGTATATTTGTTTACCGTTGGTTAAACCGGTTCTCTTATCATTTAATTTTATATTATGTAATGTTTATTACTACAACACTGTCTTTATATTACTTCTATTTCTTATTGTTCTAGACCATCAGCATCATCTTACCTCTTGAATACTGCCTTATCTATCTAACTATGTATTTGTATTACATAAATTATATTGTTTACTCTTTTTTTAATTTTGTTTCTGGTACAAAATCCCGGTACAATTTGCCTTATTTTTCAGTCAACAAAAATATTCTACCATTTGTTCAAGTACATCCATGTTTAATTTATGCATTTCAAGACGAAAAATAAAGAAGACTTGCAGTTATTTCAAGGACATGAAAACGATTTTATGCGGGTTGTAAAACCTTTATACATTTCAAATGACGTAATAACGATAATTCATTTCAGTTCTTAAATGAAATTTTTTTCTTTTCTCTTCTTTATGTTCTCTATGCTCATTATGATTTTTTTCGTCAACTTTAGGCATTTGATCAATGTATGCATGAATTTCTTTTATACTTATGCATTATTTATGTATGGTGTTATTCATACTATTTTTTTCAACCCAATTTTGATATATTTATTTATAAACCCCTAACTTGAAATCAATCATTTTTTGTAAGTTTTATTATTATTATTATTTATAAATAATTTTATAATTATTGTTATTTGAACTTTCATTTGTACACTTTTATCTGTTCTAAGTAGTATAAATATGGATAATAAGTGAATAGGATCATACCTATTTATATGGCTTGATCATTTGTTAAATATACTTTTTTTTATTCTCTATATTACTTTAACTACTCACAATTTTTATTAGTAGTATAAATTTTAAAGCCTCAAATAAAAATGATGTTTTTTCTCATTATAATTTAACTGCTTTGAATAATGAATTATCATGACAGTATGTCAATGCACATTGAAGTATAATCTTCGCTAATTTTGAATCGTTATACAGAGGAAATAAGTCTCGTGAAATTATTCAGTTTGATGTCAACATGTGTTTTTTTTTTGCCTGCCTTTCTTTTCACAATGTATTGGTTATCTTTCTATCTTAATTAAATACTTGCCTATAAAAAAATACTTAGTGTTTTCTTCCCATATCTATTTGTAATTTAATAAAGTTTATATAGTTTGATCATGAGTTATCTTGGTGTTAACAATGTAGATTCAGTGATTATACTTCCAACTCTTTGTTGACGGTACATTCGTCTATGAGTATTTAGGGATAATTCTTGTCAGGTCAAAGAGACGTAAACTTCCAAGCAACACAAATGTTTTATCTTTTTTTTCAGACTTTTCAGGGGCTATTATCTACGAACTATAGTAAGATAGATAGTATAGTGTTTACATTTGATAGGGGCCATGGTACCAACTAGTTGTTGAATCTTATGGTATGAGAAGTAGTCATCACTGTGACAAACTCAAATGAGTTTGACGCGTGCTACAATAGGCAACAGCGAAACGATATTGAACGTAAACACAAAACACACGAATCGATAAAGAACCGGTAGACTTCGCTTTTATGGTTTAAATGAAGATAAAAAAATATTTAACGATTAATTTCTATCATCTTGAAAACCCAATGTAAAAAGGCTGCAATTCAAACCAGCACTCAAGCACTATACAGAAAATAACTTTTTTATAAACCTAGGTCATCACACCTATAAGTTGATATTCTTATCACACTACGCAGTCAATCCCGTCGGTTACTTCACTACTTTTCCTCCAAAACTCTATTTCTAACCGTAATATTATCTATTCATTCATTTACTAATTGTTGACAAGTATTACGATGATATATATGTATATAATTAGTAAACGTTAGTGAATAAGATGTTTCAGCATAATAAAAATCGGGAAAAATATGGTTTCTTCATTCATAGAACAGCTTAGTACGGTATTTTACCGTTGATAACAGTTGAATCAATCGATATAGTTGGTTTTCTTTAAAGTTTGCAATTTACTAAGTGTAAGGTTTGTATTTTAGTGACCACATTATAGTTCATAAAACACTACGGCAATGTAGCGAAGCAGTAACGTTTTTGAGTGTTTCATTGAAATCAATTTAATTGAATATAAAATTGAGCATAAATTTTGAATGATACAAAGGGGCGAATTAACCGTTTTCAAATATTTGAAGTGACTATTTATCCGTAGTAATTAAAGTAAATCTATATCAATATACCAAAACCACAATGATGAGCTTTAAAACACGCGCAAAATAAATAAATCATTGAATTCAATATAAAGTATGAAATAAACAAGAGATGTATGATGTATGTGTATTCAACATGGATAATTTAAACAATTACAGGTTTTGATGCAAGTGAAGATTTTAAATGTTCATTATAATTTTTCACTAATTCCATTGTACGTTTAACCCATTGAGTTGGATCAGTTTCATTACGTTTATTAGTAATAAATTCATTTAAACTATAATTAATTTCTTCATGTTGTGCCC